GAGTCTATATGCAATATGCTTCTTAAATCAGACTTGTCAAAGATTAAATCTCTTGTTCTGATCCTTAAGAGATTCATCGAAACCAAGTTTCTCTTCGTATTTAACTTCACTTTAATTCACCCTAAATAAATCAAATGGTCTTTTGTTCAGAAGTAGGGTTTCAAAACTACCATAAAATCAGTTGCATAAGATGTATTCACCCTATTTTTTTTAAGGTGATGAAAGATTGATAGTTGAATTTGCCGACAATCTTATGAGCAGAGATGACGCTTCAATTGAATTTCACATAACCTTGCTTTCCCAAAAGGTGTTATCGTGCACGCTTAAGTTGACTGTCGTTTCGACCACGGGACTCGAACCATGTCAGTACAGCGTGTAATTTTGATGCGTTGACCACTACGCGTCATTGCCACGACTACCCTTTGGTCACGGGGCAGATGTGAATTTCAAGGAATACCAGGCATTTTTCCACATCATATTCTTTGGTCAATGAAGCAAAGTTATATTTGCCATGACAACTATATTATTTATTTTTCGAAAAAGAAGCAGACATAGCTTTGCTTCATTGACAATCCCGCCAAATAATATGATATGGAAAAATGCTTAACCCTCTTTGAAATTAACATCTCGCGGTTAAAGTGTGGAGACTCCACGCGACAATGTCAGGCTTCAACACATTTTGGGAAAGCAACGCCATGTGGATGAGATTGTGGGAAAATTGAACTATCAGTTCTGATAGTTCACCATACACGAAATCGGGTAAATACATCTCATGTAAGTTGAATTAACTTAAATTTACTGCTCTACTTGACTGCAATTACTTTCTTTACTTAACTTCACTCAACTTAAATATACTTATCTTCCCTTTTGTCCACTTTACTCTAATTCACTTGGCCTAACTCAACTCATCTTATTGGCCTCTACTTTACTTTACTTCACTTCACTTCACTTCACTTAATTTAGCTTAACTTTCGCCTACTTCTACTTGAGTTATCCCAACTCCACTCCAATCTGCACTACTTCTCTCTTCTTCAGTTCACTCCAAATCACTTCACTTCACACAACACACAGCTTCCCTTTGCACACAGCAATGGGCCACAAGTCGGCACAACAAGTCGACTTCACACTGAAAGACAGTCTGGGCGTTGGGAAAACAAGTGGATAATGTGCAAAAATGTACAAAAAGCCAATTACCAAGATTCTGGCATTCTCCTCCTCCGTCTTTGTCATCGTGTCCGAGGATTCATCGGACGCCGGCGAGTCCGCCATGACGCCTACACAACACTACACCAGTGAAATGGGTATCGGGAAAATTCCTCACTTTGAGCAGACGTTAGAGGATGCGTTGAAGGTGGACACGGTGACATGCCATCAGCGTGCAGAGCACTCGCGGGTACCAGAGAACAATCTCTAAGACGATTACCCCTACCGGTGCTGGGCGTTTTAACGTATGCTCTGTCCGGTATAGGCCAGTGTAGGCCAGTGTCTGTCAGTGTGTCCGTCCTGCCCTGACTGCCTGCGCCCACAATGGTACATG